CTCTATATATATATATATATATATATATATATATATATATATATATACACACACTACCGTTCAAAAATTAAATGTTACAAAAAAATATGTACATTTCAAATAAATGCTATTCTTTTGATCTTTTTACTGGTCAAAGAATGTTGAAAACAATCATCACAGTTTCCACAAAAAATGTTAAGCAGCATTTTCAACATTGATAAGAAATGTTTCTTGAGCAGCAAATCTGCAAATTAGAAATATTTCTGAAGGATCATGTGACACTGAACTGAAGACGAGTAATGATGCTGAAAATTCAGCTTGGCATCACAGGAATAAATTACATTTTATGTAACAATAGAGAACAGTTTTGTGAAATTGTATTTTTTTTTCATTGTGAAATTGTAATAATCTTTCACTACACACACACACACACAGTTTCAACCAGCTATTTAATATTTCTACCATCTAATAAATCAAATCTGTAGAGAAAGTTAGAATAGAGAGAGTAAAATGAGACAAGAGACAGACAGGCTAACAGAGAAACCAAAAGATAGAGAGACAGACAGAGATATGAGTGTTGTATGGTAAACCACAAGCAGTGGGAAACTAATGAGCAATTGATAGACTTTCAGACGTCTAACTGAGCAAACGCTGTTGGGTTTCTCTCTCAGAATATATCTGGGCTAAAAATGCCCTTAACAGCAGTGAAAACCGAACAACAGAACTACAAATGATGTCCCAATTCAATATTTTTCCACAGCTTGTCAGAAACACAAATATACAATGATTAGGTGCACAGGTTCATTTTCATGGCTAAAATATTGATGTGAGCCACATGTCACACTTAAAAGTGAAACAACAGTGACAAAACAGTACCCCAAAAAATGAAAATAGTCATCGAAATTCTTGCAAACCACCCTGAAATTGATCAAGTGTCGCCCAGAGGCTGACAGACACTGTAAGTGAGTGGGACATAACTCTTTATGACAACACAAGCAGCATGAATCTAGCAATGGAGATAAGCATGCTTTCATTTTTCATGCACATCATCTCAGTTGCGAGGATCTTCTCTCCACTCAAACCCGCTGTCCAACACAGCACTGGACTTGCCAGAAACAACAAAGACTGTTAAAGCTGCCCGGATCAAGTTATTTACATACATACATAAAGATACATAAAAAGCCATACTCTAAACCCATATAAATTTTTTGTTTGATGTGGGACACACAAAAAAAAAATGGATAAGGGATGAGGGGCAGGTGATTTTGACAGTTCAAACTATTTTTTCTCACCAAACAATAACCATGAAAGTAGTTCTTTTTACACCGTATATTTCAAGTCTTCCTAACTAATACAATAGCTTTGATTGAGGAACAGGCTGAAATTTTGGTCATTATGTACTATTAACCTGAACCTCTGAAAGTTCATGGGGATAAATCTTGAGATCCAATAAAGGTGTCTTGTGTGTTACAACTAAATGTGAATGAGTTGCAGCAGATGGGAAGATTTTCAGTGACCTACATTTTGGTCAGTTTTTCACACAAAGCTATCATATGACTCAAAATGTAGTGCACGAGTCATAGTAACCACTTTTATAGTGCTATTTGGTGCTGAACAGCCGTGGTCACTATGAAATGTTGTTGTATGCAAAATAACTGCATGAAGATTCCTCAAAAATGATTTTGTGCTCAATGGAAAAATAACAGCATATGGGTTGGGAACAACACAGAAGTACAAATAATGACAGAATTTTCATTTTGGGGTGAACATTATTTCAATACAATTTTTTAATGAAAATGTCTGTCCTTTATTTTATGCAGCACCAATTTTATGTAAGCAATGAGAGACTTAAGGCTTTGCTATACTGTATTCAATATAGTACCTTATTATTGCTTGATAGTGATTGGGTTACAGTAAGTCTGCAGTAATTATAATAATAAAATAGAAGTCAATGAAAAGTACCATTTAACTAGTTAAATGTGCGTGTGTGTGTGTGTGTGTGAGAGTGAGTGAGAGAGAAAGAAAGAGACAGCAAGAGAGAGGGTTAGATCATTAGAGGGACTATAGTTAGAGGGACTGATAATTTCACATTATCAAAGACAAAGTGAGAAAACCAAAGAAAGAAAGAAAGAAAACAGACAAATGCTATAAGGGATGAAACAGCTTTTACCCATCCAGTGTGATGTTTGCTGTCTGTCATCACAACTGCAGAGGGTAAAACACACACACACACAAACTACACACTAACCGTGGAGTTGAAGCGCAGGTGGCAGATATTGCATGAGATGACCTGTTTTTTCTTCAGGGACTGAGGAACACCAAACGTATGGTTTATCACAGCCTTCTGCACCGGGTCCATCTGAGGGAGGGGTGAGAAAATGAAGTTAAAATGGACTGAAAAAAAAAAAACAATTATACAAATCACTTACTTTGAATCAACAGACTCACTCTCTGCTGATTCAAACACATTCCTTCTATCCCAGTGGCAACCCTGAACCTGACGCCCGGGGCCAAGGGACTTTCCCTTGACACCCCTCGCCATGGGAACACACACCACATCACAATGACTCTGCAGCTGGTTCGCACGTCTATTTGTTTTAGAGCCTCAAGAATGTTCTTGTTGTTCATCCGCAGCCATCCCTGAGCGGCTGGGACACTGCCCAGGTCAATGTGTGTGTGTGTGTGTGTCTGATGAAGCCGCATTGTTGACTCTTGAGTACTGGAGAGGGTCAGGAGATGGTGGAGCATGATATTAATGCAGGAATGAAGGAGATGTGAGATGAGATGAGACAAGAGATGACACCATAGTGAAGAGATGAGAGAAGAGAGGAGAAAAGATGAGATAAGATGAGCAGAGCAGAAAACAAAAGCAACAGTAAAAAGATGAGATGAGAACAGATGACAAAAGACGAGGAGAATACATGAGATGAGATGAGCAGAGAAATAATGACAAGACAAAAGATACAATAAAGAGATGAGAAGAGAAGAGATGAGACGAGAAGGAGCAGTGAAAACAAAAGATGAGAAGGATCAAGAAGAAACAAGAAGAGAAGGATGAGACGCAAAGCTGTAAAATCAAGAGAAGGGATAAGATGAAGAGTAGAACAATAAAAATGAGAAGAGATAAGAAAAGATGAGAAGAAATGAGCCAAGATGAAAGGTCTAGCAGTAAAATCAAAAGAGAAGAAAGAAGAGACGAAGAGAGACAAGAAGAAAAATGATGAGACAATAAGCAAAGCAGTAAACTCAAGAGAAGAAGTGAGAAGAAAAGAGAAGAGAACAGACAAAATGAAATTAAGCAACATAAGATAAGAAGAGACGAGATGTGGAGAGAAGACAAAACCATCAGAAGATGAGACAAGAGACAACACATCATGAGATGAAAAGTAAAGAGCCAATAAGAAGACAATACAAGATGAGAGAAGCAGTAAAAACAAAGAGAGAGAAGAAAATAAAAGACGAGATGAGACAACACAAGATTCAAAGAGAAGAGAGGAGACAGAGAGAGGACAAAACCATCAGATGATGAGACAAGAGATGACACATAATGAGATGAAAAGTCATGAATCAATAGGGAGACAATACAAGATGAGATGAGGTGAGAAAAAGCAGCTGTAAAGAAATGACATGACACAAGAACAGAAAATAGAAAAAATAAGACAAAAGAAGTAGTAAAGAGAAAAGGAGAGAGAAAACTGAGCAGAGGAGACTACAAGAGCAGAAACAAGAAGAACAGAGAAGAGATGAGAATACTAAAGCAGCAGTAAAGAGAAGAGGAGAGGAGCAGTAAGGAAAGCACAGGAAAGCAGTGGAGGATAAGAGAGGAGAGAGGTCACTGACAGCTACTTTGCTGTAGAGACAGGTGCATTTATCACTCTAGTACACACACACACACACACACACACAGACTGATCTGATCAAAAAGAGAACCCGTACCTGACTATATATTAACAGCCCATATATGCGATAAAGATGTGCCATTGGTGTCTAAGATATATTATTTTTAGTCTTTTAAAATATTAAATGTTTTTAACCAACATTGTACTCATGAATATAACACATGGAGTGTGTCCGTCCAGAATGCAGATATCAGAAGAGAACCCTGTTACACACAATCTGTCTCCAAAACTGTGCTCAGAGAGTCTGAAACTAAATCTAGATCCTAATCTGAGCCACTGCTCGAGTCTTAAATCTAAAATTACTATCTAACACAATACACCTCTGTTTAACAGCCCTTTTTGCAAACACTCTGCACTTTTAAAAATACCCTGCAGTCTGCTGAACCGTTCCTGACATTTAGAGATGACATTTGGGACCCAACGCGATGCCTTTAAAATGTTCTGAGTTCACTTTAAATGATGACACATTTGGGAAGGTGAGGTTTAGAAAATAAAACCAAGAGAGTTGATTAACTCACAGTGTTGAAGTTGGGGAACAGGCTGAGAGGGGAGGAGCCACTGAGCCGGAAGGGCAGGAAGTGTTTCAGGTCCAGAGGGGTCTGCAGCGGGCGACCCTGCACCGGTAATGAGGCCAGCAGGGGGCTCCCCTGAGCAGCCATACCTGAGAAGAGCAACAACAATAACCAACACATATAAGAGAAAATCACCACTGTTCAGACCAAGGGCAGGAGAGTATTTAAATCAAGCAATTAGGGCACAAACACAATGATCAATGAAGAGAAAGGGGAAATTTAATAACAGTCAGTCACAGTTCAGTTAACCAGGATCTAATGAGTTTTAAATCATCATTATTCTTCTGACACAATAACACATTGAATGATCTGATTACAATTATTGTTCTATCTATTCAGAATTAATTGTTAACATTGCATGAAAAAAAAACAAACAAAAAAAAACAATCAGCCCAAGAGGATCTCATGTGATTTTTTTAAAGTGTATCAAAACCAATCAGCCCAAGAGGATCTCATGTGATTTTTTTAAAGTGTATCAAGTTCATATAATTTAATTTTATCATTTAATTTGATGTATTTTTCACTTTTGAACAATACATTTCAATTTGTTCATGATTGTTACGGTTTTAAAAATTCACAAAGAGAATGCAAGTAAATTCATAACAAAGTATATTCACTACTGACTTTCACATGATTTAAAAAAAAAAAAAAAAAATCTAATTATATAACTAACCTGAATTCACCCCTACAAATAACACTCTTTACAAATGTAGTACATGACGAATGGATAGTTGACAAAAACATGTCTATCAACCTTTTCTTTTCAGCATTGAGACTGTAGGTTAAAATTTATATAATTAATATGAAAGTGCATTTTAGATGCCTACTCTGCAACATTTTTTGCACTTTTACAGTGAATATCATCCCAACACTTCAGATGAAAACACTTAGTCTCGCGTAGCCAGACCTTCAGACTGATGGCTGAAGGTCTGGAATCCATGGCAGCTTTTTATCAAAAAATATACTCAAGTAAAAGTACCATTACCTTCCAAAAAATGTAGTGTGAGTAGAGTAAAACTACTTGAGTAAGAGTAAAAGAGTAGCCTATTTAAAAGTACTCATGAGTACTGAGCTGCGGATTCTTCCCCCTCATAATAAACGCTGTACACCGCAATTTATACATTTTAAAAACGTTGTACATTCTGTAATTCACTACTGTAACGTGAATATTTGTAATTCGTTACTTCACACCCCTGGCTTTTATTGGCCAAGGTCCACCCATGAGGCCGTTTAACAGACATGTCCAACAACCAATCACAGTTCGTTTTGTTTCAGTGTCACGTTTCGGGGCGTGGAAATGTCACCACAATAACAGACCGTGTAAAACTCTCGGATGTATTTTTAAAGATTCTGTGCCGCGAATTTTAACATTTCACATACTTTTGAAAATTCAGCGTTTAGTTGATCCTGATAAGCGCTCGTCGTCACAGTTGTAAACACGACGGCTTTCTTCTTTCGTGAGGGGGTTTGGCGTCACGCCATCTTTGTTTCCAGGCGGAACGTTATAGAACGTGACACGCACGTCTCCCGGAAATCCTGTATAATTCAACCAATCCGATGACGACTTCAAAACTCCTGAAGTGTTTCCATTTTTGTGTGCCATATGCATCAGACGTTTAGCCAACGTTCTGTGGGCGTGACGTCTGAGGCTGAGACTAGAAAACACTTTAATACACTTAAACACGCTAAAAAAACAGCTAAAACATGGACATATTAACAAACAATATAGAAACAGATTCTGACAAAGCAAGATTGCTACATTATATTTTAGGAATATTATTATTATTAGCTTTGTTTGTCGTATTGCTCTTCAGATTTTTCTACAACCACACAAGTGTTTAAGGATAAATAATGATAAATACATTGAGAAAAAAGCATTGATCACATTAATAATACACATAAACACACACATACTCTTAATCCGACTAAACGGGTGTGGACTGGACCACATTGGCTGTGTCTCACTCAAAGAAATGGACACCATGGGATATGGGATTTTTAATGGGGTGTGTGTGTGTCTACAGGGATATCATGTTTCTAATGGAGCAGGGATGTAGAGGTTTCTCATTTTCCAGTTGGCTGAATCTGAAATCTAGGAATGTATAGATACTTACCCTACCACAAAGATCAATCAGTATCGTGTACACACACACACACACACACTCCACGGAGGCCTGATATCAGTCATTTAATTCTGTCAAACTGTCACATTTCTGTGTGTATGTGTGAAAGAGAGAGAGAGAGTACTGAAGCTTTCAACCACAGAAGTGCAACATTAATCATAGCCCTGACAATTTATTAGAGCGAGTAAACACACAGCCAGCACCTCATCATACACACACACACACACGTTCATGCTGTTGTTTTTCATACAATGAAAAGTGAATAGTGGCCAGTAGTGACTATAGTCTCCTGAAGCCATACTAAAATTTTGTGTAAAAAAGTTCAAAATTTAAAATTTATCTTGTCTGCTCTTAAATTTCATTCATGTTCACACATATAAAAAAATGCACGTTAGAGCAGCATTGTTATTATTATATAAAAACTATTAAAAATGTAAATAAAGCTGAAATAAATAAAATATAAATATTATATATATAATACTTATTAAAAAAGCAAACTTAAAATAAATGTTTAAGTACTAAAATTGCTAAAACTCAAAAATAAATCTACATGGAAATGTTTAATAAAAATAATACAAATTACAAAAGCACGTAACAAAATTACTTAAACTTAAACTAATAATTACAATTATTTAAAATGTAAAAAATAAATGCCAATTCAAAATATGAATGAACTTAGTATACTGTATACTATTATGCATACTATAATAGTATATAAATAAATAATACTGAAATAACACTGGTCTGATGTCACTGAAGCCAAATGTCATTGTTTCTTGCGTAAATCACAACTGATCACTGAATTACCAGAGAAAACAGATTATCAGTGAAAAACTGCTTAAACTTGTATTCGAATATCGATGATACCAAGTTCTACAGACTACAAGCCATTTTTGCACTTTCATTGCACAGAAAAAAGCCTGCCTATCATCCCATTTTGTTTCACACAAGATAAAAAAGTCCAATGGGTTTGGAACGATATGAGGGCAAATAAAGTTAATTTCCTACTTCTTTAAAACATACACACAAAGCAGGATGCTTCAGTCCTAGAGCCTCATGCAACCTCATTCATGTTCTAAAGACATGTCTGCATGACAGTGTGTAATCTGTCTAACTCAATGGAGCTCAAAATAAATGACCAGCACGCCCTGAAAAGGTAGACTTATTTTTCAAGTGGTTATACGCATGCAATATTCAGCCAGATACACACACGTCCACACAATGAACGTCTCACATATGCTCTTGGCCTCAAACAGATAAAGCTTTGAATTTAGATGGTGCCGCCAGTGTATGCTGGTGTTTGAATGTAGTGGACCACAAACCACTGAGCAAAAAGAAAGACGAGATATTTTTTTTCCTCTCTCTTTCCTGACAACATTTGAAAGGCATAATTATGATTTCCAGAGAGCTGCAATTAGCAGAATCCGCTGCTCTTGCTTCTCTGTCTATCTCCCTCCCTCCATCTCTCTCTCTTCCTCTCAAACATAGCCACAAAATCAGTGCAGCGTCCAGTTGGCATATCTCACTGTGTTTCTATGTCACATCACATATTCCTTCCTCATTTGCTCTTTTGTTTCAACACTCACACCCTCACACATCAATTATATATATTTGAACATAAATGCTTGTGCATAGACTACTGTTCAAAAGTTTGGGGCCGTTAAGGTTTTTGAAATAATTCTTTCATGCTCCCTAAGCCTGCATTTATTTAATCAAAAATACAGTAAATTTAACATTTAAAATGATGATTTCTATTTTAATATAATGTTAAAATGTAATTTATTCCTGTGATGGCAAAGCTGAATTTTCAGCAGCCATTTCTAATGATTATCAATGGGGATTTACAATGTGCTGCCTATATTTTTGTGGAAATTTTAATTAATATTACATGTATATATATATAAAATGAATACAAAGTATTAAATTCTTCTTTAAAAAGTCTTACTGACTCCAAATCTAGATATTGTATACAGTGGGATCCTGCACTTGAACTGCATGAACTCCACATATTTGTGTCAAATCTGATGATCATGTTCTCCAACATGAGTTGAGATGATCCAAGGAGCATCTTGAGCTTCAATAAAAGCAAAAACATCTGACTGTCTGTAAAGCGTCACTTGATCAATGTCAAAAATGTACTTTAATTATTGACACAGAAATAGTGCAAAATCTGAAATATGCTTGTTTCATTTTACATTAAAACACTTTTTTTTTTTATTCCTCGAAATCTTACAATTTTTTGTTTATTTCCAGGTTTAAATGTTGAATCCCAGAATTTCAAATGTGGCTTTTGGACCCCACTGCACATGTTTTTTAATATGTTTACATGTGAAAGTGTGTACGAGTGTGTGCGTTTTTCGGAGTTTGGATAAAGGCATTGCCGACATCCTTCTTTTCATTTACATAACCCACAAGCCTACAGCATGTACCGCACACACGAACTAAGCTCAGTGTCACACAAACTCACAAACAAACCCTGCCTGAGTCCATCTTGAGATGAAACCGAAGGTGACAGGCATGTGCGTGTGTGTTTGCGTGTATGCACATGTATATCTCATTTTATTTGTGCTTGCCTATTTGTATGTGTCCGTGATGTGAGAGAATGTGACAAAGAGAGAGCTGCCTTCTGTGCTGTTGAGACGAGCGCATAGTATTTAACGGCAGTGTGTGTGTCTCAGATTGCACTGGAGCCCTTTAATAAGCACGCAAAAATTCAGCTTGGATCTGGTCAGTCCAGCAGAACCAGCTCAGATGGTGCGGGGCCAGAGATCTGCTGATGTTTGGCTCTTCAGTGGTGGTCCTGAGGAACTGTTCAGATGTTTACAAGATAGTGCTATTTGATAAAGAGCCACATTTGCATAATATCTTGGTGGCTGTCTAAATCGCTGATGACAAAGTATATTAGTGGCAGACCAATATAGCATCTAAGATATTTATGTGTCAATAATTTCCATTTAGATATTGTA